CTTCCCCTACCCCAATAGTATCAAAAATCTTTATGTATGTGAAGCAAATCTTTTTGAGTTCAAGTGCAATAATTTTTTTTTTTGGGGTAACTCTCTCTCTCTCTCTCTCTCAGTCTGAGGCCCACTTACCAACCAATCAAACTCACAGAAGAAACACACAAACAGAGTTGAAGGGTAGGTGCCAAGTCAAACATTCAATCAAAAACCCCATCGAAAACGAAAACCAAATGTCACCGTCACACTCCGTCACACCACCAACCTACACCAGCATACCCATTTCCGTCTCCGGCTCCGATGCCATCACCCGATCCATCAAAAATCTCAACGACGCCGTCTCCCGCCGCCGCCACTGGCCCGAGTTTGCTTCCTCACTCGACCGGCCCGACTCGTTCTCCGCCGCCCTGACCCGGATCCGTACCAACGCCAACCACTTCCGGGTCAATTACTTGCTCCTGATCGGCGCCTGTGGGGCCCTCTCGCTCATCGGAAGCCCGGGATGGCTTGTGGTGACGGCGGCCGTCGTGGGCCTGTGGCTGGTGGTCTACTTTTTCAGGGAGGACCCACTTGAGGTGTGGGGCTACCACGTCAGCGATTGGGCCGTGCTGGTGGGTCTGGGATTGGTCTCTGTTTTGGTTGTTTGGGCCAGCGGTGGACTTGGGAGTGTCTTATTGGGCCTTGTAGTTGGGCTTGTGTTATGTGGGGTCCACGGGCTGCTCCGGAACCCGGAAGGCTTGTTTCTCAACGAGAATGATGCTGCTTCCCAAGGCTTGATCGGGCCCACTTCTCCATCAGTCTGATAAACCCTAAATTCATTCATATTTTAATTATTATTTTATTATTTGGGGTTGATGAGTTTGTTGCATTCTGTGGCTTGAAAACAAACGACAAGCATTTCATTGTCGTTTTCTTTTTTGTTCTGGTTGAATTTTTTGGGTGTTTGTGGATTGTGGTGTGTTGGGGTTTGACTGATGTTTGACTGATTTATTAGGTGTGTAAGAATGTAACTAATAATAGAGTGAAAAATGATAGTGTGTTTCTCTTGTAACAACTGATTTATGGGTTTCTATTATTTTTCTGATGGAATGGAATGAAGAAATTTTACTAAATTTAATGCATGTATTATTAATTTTCTACTTGTTTGGGTTTGTTGGCTCAGACTCAAAGATTGCTTTCATTGACTTGTAGTAATTTTGCAAATTGCAAAGAAAATTTTATGCACTGCATTTACACTGATAGAAGAAAGAAAGAAGGGTCTTTGTCACTCTCTCTATAACCACAATTGATTGAGTCACACAGCAGCCAACCTTTTATGGCTTTGCTATCAACATGGGACCCTGCCTTGATTGAGTATTTATTTAGGAGATCAAATGAAATGAAACAAAACAAAACTTAGGGTCTACTCTCAAACTACCATACTTTTTTTTTATTGCTCTTAATTTGCTTGAGAAATTCACTGTGATTGCTTCTGGTGCAATTTTGGTAAGCAATATAGCAGTAGTGTCCTGAAGGAAAATATATGGTCTAAATTGCTGATATTACAACTAACTAGATTGATTACAAGTGTTAACAAAACTGAGTTCCTTAGAACAAAAGGATTACTGGTTTTAAACATGAGGATTTTCCTTTATATCTTGCTCCTCATTCTTACTAACTTTGCCAAAGTTTCTTGAGCTGCCAAGGTTTGAGCATGGTTGTGACCCAGCATAACTGTTCTGATACTAATACAAGTTCTGCACAGCTCTTCGCCGCTGTCGAAATGCCCGCCCCGAAGCAGCAATTTCGCCCTGGTCTCCAGTAATGTCGCCTTCAACAATGTCACGTCTTGCCACACGTATTCATCCACCCTTTGGTTGCTTTGCAACTTGTTCTTCCAGCAGAGAGAGCCATGGCACCAGTCTTGTATTTGAGAGACAAAGGACTTCTCTACTTCCTCAAGTACATTTGTGCAAACCTTTAAAAGTTCCAATGCTGAGTTGCATCTGGAGAAGGTTGTGAAGGCCCTAATTGCAAGAGGGAGGGCTGTCTTTTTTATGTATAAAACCATGTCGATCGCCTTTAACTGCACAAGAGGAGGCTCCGATTTGAACCCGAAAACAAGGAATGCAGTGGCCCACAGGTGGTCTAAGTTTACCAATGGATTGCCAAGTTTCCTTATGCCCTGAACTGTTGCCTTGGCAGCTACTAAACCTTCTTTTCTCTTTGTATATACCTGCGTTATGGGATGGAACTGGATCCAACATCCGAATGGTTTTTTCGCTGTTCGCGCTAGTCCTAGTTTAACAAGAAGATGGGCTGAGTCTTCTTCAGCACTCTTCCATGCTTGTGGTGCAAAGCAACTAGAGCAGGAGCCAAATGTGACACTAATGCAATTCGTCCATTTCCTGAGCCGGCTTTTAGTGGCGGGCATATTGTTAGCTGCAGTAGTCAGAAGAGTCAAGGAAATAGGTGTTGGGGCAAACCAGGCACCAACAAGAAGCATTCTTGAGGCAAGAAGGTTGATGATCCCACTAGATTGTTGTAAGACGGCGAAGCAAAACGATATGACTTTCATTAGGAAAGAGTTGTTCTTGTAATACTGCTCTTCAGTGATGCTTATGAACGGACAAGGAGAGCCTTCGTCAAGTTGCATTTGGCTGATAGCTTCAAAGAGAGCAGAGGGGGCAATAGCTAGTTCAGAAAGCAGTGAACCAATCAGCCACAAACCAAAGCTCAGCCTTCCTAGTTTCTCATCAAATTTCATCAGAATTTCCAACTCCTCAGCTGAGTAATCTTTCTTTTTTCTTCCTCTGATCAAAATCATTGCATCCGAAACCGGCAACGGTGGAAGCTGCATTGCATCAAAATTCATTACCTTGGACAGCCTAGTTGTGATGATCACATGAGACCCTCCTGTGTTCCTTGGGATCAAGTCATGTAGATCCTTCCCTTCCCACCACTCTCTCTCAGTCTCAAGATTATCAATCACAATCAAATAAGGCATGTCCCGGAACAACTCCCTCTTGACTCTCTTGAATGCTTCAAATTCCTGCTCCTCAAAGCTTCGAATTCGTCCCCTATCTTTTTCAGCATCAGCACTCACATCCAATCCCAAATTCTGAGACAGATTCAATATGTTCTGCCTAAAATATCTAGCTTCCCCACCAATCCACAAGACCATCTTGTACCTTTGGCAATACCTGTAAGCAAATTCCAGTGCAAGTTCAGTCTTTCCAATGCCTGGAACCCCATTTAAGCAGATCACACTGCTTCCCAAGCTCTTGTAATTCCCACTTTTCGACTTCTTGTACTTTGACCTCTTGAATGAATTTCTTCCCACAACTGGTTCAATCCAAGCCTCTAAATTGGGCTCTTCGCACTTGCCCATCTCTAAATTAATGTACCTCCCTCCTCTAGTGGTAACCACTTCGCTTTCGTCATCTGCTACGCCTTCAGAATGGCCACTGGCTTCTCCTTTGATGATGGTCATAGAGCATTCTTGCTCTAAGTAGTCCCCTGAAGAACCAAACAAAGCAGTTTCAATTTCCATAATCTCCTTCTCTCTTCCCACAAAGAACTTGTTTCTTGGGAAAGGCAGCTCATCAACTCCTTCCATATCTGTCTGAGACACGCTTTGCCTCCCAAGCTTTGTCCGTAAAACCCCGGCAGCTTTCGATACAATGTTCCTCCAGTTACCCTCATTGGCTTCCAGCTTGAACTCATTGGACTTCATGAGCCCATCAATGGCTTCTTTACATTCTCTGTCAATTGAGCTGTAGTTGAGAAGACCCAAGATTTCAGCAGGCCCAGTGTCAAAGAATATTGGGAAGAGGTTCTTCTTCTGGGCAAAGAACCTAACCTCCTCCATGCTCAAATGGTTGATAAAGCTAGAACTAGTAACAACCACAACCCCATATGTCACTGAGCAGATGACTCTGTCAGCAATCTCTTGGCTCTGAGTATCAGAGTACTTAGCCCTGTCAGCAACAAAACAAGCAATACCCTGGAGCTCAAGCTCTGATTTAAGCCACTTGCAGAAGCGCACCAAGCTTGGATTTTGGCCATGGAACCCAATGTACACATCACAGCTCCTCAGCTTGGCATTTGAAGCAGGGGAAACAGGGCCTTTGGCAAATGAAATCCGAGGGACAGGGAAGGAAAAAGAAATGCGTGGAGGTGCAGAGTCAAACTTGAGCTTCAAAGGGTCAGAAATATCATCAGAATATTCATATTGATCTGACGGTGGAGTGTAAGAACTGCTTGGTATGTCATCTGACTGTGAACCACGGCATAATGAGACCAGTGGAGAAGGCTGTGTGGTGGGGTTTGAGCTCTCTTGGGTTTCTTGGGGCTTTGGTGTTAAGGCCCTTGGAGAAATGTATGGAGACTGTAGAGCTGAAACAAATGCTGATGAAGGTGGGGAGACTAGAGATGGAGAGTTGTATGGTGAGGATTCAATTGAGTTCTTCAAGTTTGGAGAAGGCAAAGTCTCTTTACCTGTTTCTTGGCTGCTACAAGTTTTTGTTGTTTTTGGTGTTGTTGATGAAGCTATTTTGATGGTAAGCCCACTAGAAACCATGGTGTCTAGAGGAGTTTTCTGGGGAGCTTTAGCAGATTTTGATGCTTGTTTCTCTTCATCCATGGCCATTTGCAGCTTTGGTAGATCTCACTTCAGATATTTAAACTACACCAGTGTTTCAGTTCTTTTCACCAGACAGCATTAGTACTTCAGAGTTACTACTCTCTCACTCTACAATGTACTTTGAGTACTGAGCATCCCCAGGTCCTCACACAAGAATCATTTTTTGGCTGAAAGGAACCAAAATCCCTCAGCTTTCTTCTGTGCTTTCTTTGTAAGTTTCAAAAATATACTGAAAGATACAATGTTTCTGTGAATGGCTCAGATGTGGGAAGACTCTGCCAGAAGATGAATGCAACAGTAAAACTCAAACAGGAGAAATCTTCTGCCCTTGATGTATATCACTCGCCATTGTGGGCCAATCTTTGGTGAGAGCCAGACTTTTGTTTCTATCCTGCAGCTGACGAGAGCAGATTTGACCAAGAGGGTTAGAAACAGAAGCACAGAAAATCCACCTTAGTGAATGATGAGTTGGGTTCTTTTTATTTTTCATGCATTTACATCAAGCCTATAGTTTGGGAAGATTTGAATGCTAATCATTTAAGCTTTTGCTTGCTATGATTGAAGTTGTTGCTTTGGTTGATCTATATAATCATGATATAACAACTAAAAATGACCATATATATATTTGGTGCAATATTCTCAAAATCAATCAACTTGTTACCTTAGCTTTGATGGATAGGAGGCTAAGATGAAAAGGAAGGCCCTACTTTGCTGCAACTCCTGCGAAGCCCATGTCTTTATGTTTCTGTTTCTGTGATTGAACAAGCTGGATGGAGAGAGGGAGATAGAGAGAAAGAGAGAGATGGGGGGAATCTAATTGCTAATGTATGGGTTGGATCTGTGAGGTTTTGAACATAAAATATTACCCAAAATGCTTAAAAAGAAGTTGCAGCAGAGGGTTAAATGCATAGCATTTGTATTATATTAATTTGTGTTGGGGTTTGCCAATTTATTTTTGTTGTATGTGCTGTACATCTTAATCTCTCTAAATTTTAAATCTAACATGAGATTTCTCTTACTTGGTCACAGAAGCCAAAGATTGGTGTATTATATTAATTTGTGTTGGGGTTTGCCAATTTATTTTTGTTTTATGTGCTGTACATCTTAATCTCTCTAAATTTTAAATCTAACATGAGATTTCTCTTACTTGGTCACAGAAGCCAAAGATTGGTCAGAAAGCAAGCACTAGGAGAAAAGGACATTGGGAGAGCAACCATAACTCACAACTTGTTTGTACACTTGGGTGGGTTTGTGGCCAAACCAAATGGGGTTCAAACTCAAATTGTACTAGACATAAATAAAAAACAATTTTTACCATATATTAATTTTTTCCTAAACTTTATATTTATTTGGCAATGCAGGTTTTTCCTCTGTGTGAATGAAGTCATCCGACAGAGTTTGAATAATATTTGCATGGGAAATTGGACCAAAGACTAGTCCAACTGACTCACTGAGAGGACTGAAGAATTTACCATTCAAGAGTGATTTTCTTTTGCCCGTATGGGTTCTCTGGGCACCCCAAATGGGGTCACCTTTTTATATTATCTTAGATTCTTATGCATTTGATAAGACTCACTACTAAAAAATTGAGATGTGATCATTGGAATGGATATGGATGAGGTAAATGTAGAAATTGCAAGAAAGGGGCTTTACTCTTGAATGGTTTATGTAGGTATGACTATGGATTGTATCGTGTTAGGTTTGGATGGTTTAAAAATCTTCAACTTAAATACGCTCAGTTTATTAAACAAGTTAGAAATCTCTAACTCGAGAACAACTCATATTAAAAGAGTAACATGACGCACTTATCCTCACGTTCTAAACATTTTTCAATCTATTTTATCTTCAAATTACAAAATACACATTGTATCGTACATACTATGTGACACCAAGCAACCCTACCATTCAAGCACAAATTGTGATTACGTTCATGTGATTATAGTTTGTATTTTAAAATTGTTATCCATCGATGTCATTGTCTACTTAGTTTGGACCTATAATGATCATTCTAAATACTTATTGCATTATGCAGAGAGAATGATCATTAGCCTTTTATTCAATATTACTCTCCAATCAAATAAATAAAACCCTATGGCTTCATGAAAGGCAAGAGCATATACAAATAAAATACGTAGTTTCTGATCTGTTCATTTCTATGCATGATTGGGGCAAAGCTGGAAAGTCATACTGACACAGATAATGTCTCGATCACAATTCTTTTAGCCACAGTCCTCAACTCTTTAAAAAGCTTGGTCTCTTTTCCATAAATTATACGC